TTGCTTATGACTCCCAGCTTGGCCAGAGACGGTCGAATATAAAGAAACATCCCGCACGATGAGTGCGCCTTGGTGTGCGGAGGTTGAGGCAAGTTAGTGGAAGCTGAGGGATCTGCGCGAGCTGTATGTGTTTGGATATTCTCTCCAGATTCGTGCGAACTGGTTCCCTTATTTCCTTCTTCGCTCACAACATATCATGCTCTTCATCTAAATCATTACTGCTACGTTGACCGTCCATAGTTCATAAAGTGTATTGTCAAGTAATATATTGCTATTACACAAGGGGGTATGCTGCTCTGCTCAACGTATCAGGCGGTGTCACCTCACCATTTCTCACACAAGAAAATCTAAATAAGCTCCCATCTCTGCCTCGAATCTCTTCCCAATTTGTCTTCCCTCTCCAAGAACGTTCAGAAAAACAAAACACGCTTCGTAAAAAGAAAACGCCTACAACGCCGTTATAAAAGACCAAACCATATCAAAGAAAATTATCCATCCAGTGTTCTGGACTGATTACGTATGACTCGTTCGCTTGTTGACTGCTCTGCTGCTGGTCGACATTCCCCTAAATTAGAAAGAAGGTTTTGTCAAGATGCGATACTCAACGTAGTCCTCTCCATCAATGCTCAATATTTGCGGTGGACCAACAAGCTTTCCGGCGAATGGACCGTTTTGCTTACGCTCATACTTGATGCCGTTGTGATATTTAATCTCATCGGAGACCGGTGGTGGTCCCCCAACAGTGCCACCATTGCTGGAGGTAGATTGAGAGTGAGTGGCCCTGTTCTGAGCAACCCAAACCTTGTTTAACTTTTTCAAGTTATGCTTGAGCTCCATCTGTGCAGCATGCTCAATGATGTTATTCTCGGCTGCAGCGACTTCCTTCCTAGCCTTCTCATGCTGTCGCTCCGTAGCCTCCAACTTCTCTTGCCTGGAGCGAGCAGCAGCAGCAGCGGCCTCAAGCTCAGCTTGTTGGCGTACATGGTGCTTGTGTTCGGCTCGGGCACTGTGACGGGTCTCCATCTCGAGTGGTGGTGGTGCGGCACGGGGGCTGTATGTCTGAGTCAACTCTCCGTTCATAACCTGTGTAGCTACAATAGCCTTAGCTGCCTGAACAGCCTTAAGCTCGTTTGCCTTGCGCTCCTTCTCCGTCTCTCGCTGTTCTTGCTCATAATTTCTAATGCGACAATACTCCTTGACTTCCGGGCGGCTCAAGCCTTGTAGATGTGGCTCCATGACAACCTTATCGTAGTGAAGCCAAAGAGCACCAGCACCAACGGGAAAGTTACCATCAACGTATCGACCATCACGAGTGCAACGCTGAACCTTGACGCGAAAGCAATCTGATCCACTGAGAACACCATAGCATGCATGCTTGTCTGCAACGTTTACCTCTGTCGAGTCAGCCCAATATCCAAGCAGAACACCAGGTGACTTGCTATCACCAGATGGTGATTGCTTCGGACTCTGAGCTTGGCCAGTGTTGACAGCTTGGAAGCTAGGAGTTTTTTGAATTGGTTGACGAGGGAGGGACTGACGATGGCTGGATTGCCGAGCGACGGAAGGGCGGTGAACAATTGGCTTGTTACCTGGGGAAGCAGCCTGATCAGAAGCGATCTGCTTAGCCAACGCAACAGCTCTACCTTCTGCAGCGATGCGTTCTTCTTCTGTAGCCTCATATACATCTGTACGAAGCTTAACGTATTCCTTAATCTCCGCAGAGTTAAGTGATGCAAGGTGTTGCTCAAAGATGATTCGAGGGAAGGTAACCCAACATCCACCAGCTCCAGTGGGGACATTGCCAATTAGCTCCTCTCTCTTTTTGTTCATCGCATAGATGCGAGTGCGAAGACGATCATGAATGTCGATAAACCCAAATATCACGTGTTTATCATTGTCATTTGGCTCGCTCGAATCACGCCAAACACCGATAGGGACTCCGCGGACCTTGGGTTGAGCTCGAGGCCGCTTGATAAGAGGTGAGTCTGCGCGGGGACTGCCACGAATCTTTTCGAGGCCTTGGCTCTCGAGTTCGGCATAGTTGACCGATTGGCGGTCACGTTTTCGCTTTGTGTCTCGAGGTGGGGATCGTGGAATAATATCATCCTCATCCTCATCATCTGGATTCAATAGAATAGCAGAAGAGTCTGCAGATTCCATCGTAGGTGCATCAACAATAATACCTTTCTCTGCATCCTCACGAGCAGGAGTGTTGCGGGATGAACCAGAAAGCCTATCGATTATTAGCAGGCGGTTTACTTAATATGGTGTAATTGTAGTTTCAAAGCGCTTAGTAACAAAAGAAAAGCTCAAACACGTGTCAAGCTAATTCACCCCCATACTTGTCACCGACAATGACAAATTCTTGGTTTCGAGAAGAATTGACGTTATAAACGCGACGGGAAGGGTGTAACAGTAGATGATTGAAATAGAAATAGTACAGCTTGTCGCTTATGCATTGCGTGTTGTGGTTGCTATGCAAGGCGCAGTAATGCACTGTCAAGGGAGCGAGAATAGAGAAGTTGGAAACAAAAGGACACGGAACAAGAACATACCCCGAGTCCAAATCCATCGTGATAGCAATATCAAGAGAATTGGAGTGCGAAAGAGTGCTAGACAAAACCAATTGCATGAGATCGCGACGATGATAAAAAGTGTAGTGCGGGTAATACAAAACAGGAGTTGATAAGGTAAAGGGCCGATGACTTACGGGCTTCTTGGTTCAGCCGGCGTGTTGCCCTCAAATCCGTCCAGTTCCATACTGTCAGTACTCCTGCTCGTCAAAGAATCTGATGAAGATAATTCCGGCTCTTGCATGGCTCTAATATAATGTAATAGCCGTTCGAAGAAGAATTTCGTCGAAGGTAAAGGTGTTCTTGTGCTATCGAAGTAGAATGGTTGAGGAATTAATGAGGAAGAGGGAGAGAGTTCGATTGATGAGACAGAAAGAGCGAAGTTCCAAGGCGAAGCGAATCAATAACAGGTGCCAATTGAATTCGTCTTAGCGCCGCTTTTGCGTTCCTATTCCATTCACCCTTCGCATGTCAAAATCCCTCGCTGCTCTCCTTAGGTTAAGCAAGCGGTAATCTGTAATCAAGTTTAGAGTGATGAGGTGTACGAAGGCACGGCTTTTGCAGGTGTGGTAACAGTGATGCAGCGTAGAGTTGCAGGTGCAGAACTGCCTATTTTCAATTTTAGATGAGCAGCGCAATGCGTCTTGCAATTGGGGCAATTATGCAATTATGTGTTTGTCAAGCTGCAGCTTGCCGGGTGCCTTGAGTTCGATACCAAGGCCAAGGCCAAGGACAAAAGGCTTTCCACGTCGACCGTAGCCTGTAAGAAAGGGACCTCATTAATCTAAGTCCAACAATCCATACAATCCATGGCAATTCATGATCCATCGTCCATCGTCCAACCAACATTTATCGCTACCTGCGACCTCTTCCTCTTCCACGTCCTCTACCTGGTCCTGCGCCACCTCCTCGCTTGTTCCCTCGAATGCTTCCTTCATCAAACCGATCGCTCAACTTCTCTTCTCCAAAGCCAGTTTCGCCAAGCCGCAAATAGCTAATAACGCCTTGATCAACTACCGCTAAAACAACATTTCGCCAACCATGTCTCAAACGATGATAAACTTTAGTCGGACCACTCATATCGGCTCTTGGCGGATCCCAAGGCGTACTCTCCAACAAAGAAGTAAGTTGTGGAAGTGACGGAATAAAAGTTGTGCGTGCATCAGTAATTGCGACGCGGAAATCAGGCAATCCTGGATTAGTTTTTGCAAAGTTCATAGTATTTGTGGGCTTCCAGAGGTGGAAAACTACACGATAGGGATCTTCTGCGGGCGGTGAGGGATTCTCCGGAACAGGTGAAGGTTTGTGTCTCGGAACGATAGCGATTTGTTGATAGATCGCGTTGTATGATCTGTACATCCCAGGCTTTACCAATGGACCATACGGTGGATGTTCAATTTTCGCATCAACGAAGAGCTTGTCAAATAGCCAAGTGAAGAGACTGGTAGACTCCTGCGATTTGACGACTTGAAATTTATGGCTTTCACCAGGCTTGGTTGGATCCCATTCTGGTGCTCTGAAAACAACATAACCATTTCTTTTGAGATTGGCATATACTGTATACCGATCCAGGCTGACCTTGCCTCGCTGTCCATCATTGCCAATCAACATAGCATATGCAGCTTGTAGACTCATTGGTGCACCGTCGTCAATTTTCTCAGAACTCTCTGGTTGCTCTTCTGCGCCACCATTCTCTTCACCATCACCTCTTGCGATAAATGAAGACCGAGTCGGCCACCATAAATCGAGATTTCCTCTTTCCACAAGATATAGCGCCTCCTCTGGGAGCAGCCATAAACTCGGCGACTTCGTTCCAGTGGGAGACTTTCCCATTGTCTTAAAATGCGGACCTTTAATCGAATGAACAACGACACAATGATCTTCGTCCAATCCCTGAAGCAATTCCGCTGGTACAACCTCATCTCTCTTTAAACTTTCATCCCCATAGTAAAAGCCGCGGATATGATTTTTCGGATTATGAAATCGTGTATATGCTAGAGCATCGTGCATTGCTTCTCTGCTAGCTGCAAGAATTCCATCTTGGTGCTTGGTACCGTGAGGTTCGAAGTCCTTCTCGCCGCGCTTCGGAAGCTGGCCTGATTTCGAGTTCAAGGCTGCAAGGAGGCGGAAATCCTGCGTTTCATCGCTAGGATCATTGTCTTCGAGTGATTGCGGGTGTAGTGAGGCAATTGGCGTGTCTTCATCCATATCAGCCATTGTGGTTGACAGTATTATTGTTTTTCTTTCTTTCTTGCTTAAAGCTCACAATTTTTCTGACTCCCAAATCTCAGCCTTGCACAACATCGGAAAATCTTCGGGAGCTCGGCTAAATTATGCTTCATCCCACTTCTCACCCCACTTTGAGACAAATAGTTTATGATCACAAATAGGCTGCAATTTCTTTCAAGTCAAGCAAACATGATCAATGGGAGTCTGGCCGAGTGGTTAAGGCGCTGTGTTTAGGTTGGCTGAAAGGCAATCAAAACGATCCGCAGTGGGAAACCGCGCAGGTTCGAATCCTGCGGCTCTCAACTAATTTTTTTGTTTCTTTTCTGAAGTTTTGATATCACATTTTCTATCCCATCTCTGCGTACTCGAAACCTTGTTTTTATTTGTTTTTGGTGTTATTATCTTTAAATTTTAGTTGTTCTTTTCATAATATATTTAAAGCCTTTTTTTCATTACACGAGAACTTTTTCATTTCAAATAAGAATTTACACTGCCATGTCACGTAGTGTTGACAAAGGAATGCACGTCCTAAGAAATATTCACACCGCCGTCAGCTATTCGGGACGCTTATTCGCTGTGATAGATTTCGAAAAGCTCAACCAGTTACACAAGAACAAGTATCAAGCGCGAAACGCTCTCTTCAGCCGCTGTCAGCTTCCCCACTGGCAGGGCGTTTTCTAGGTTTCTGGGAATTGGGTTGGTGGCACGAGTGGGGGACTAAGGTAATGAGAGCCTGGCCCCCAAATATCTGACTGTCTGACAGTCAAAGCGAAACGATGAGGCGAATTGCATTCCCTAATTCGCCAAATGTTGAGAAGAAAATTTGAAGAGATAAATTGAGAATGCGACGGGTTAAGAGAGGTAGATCTAGAAGATAGCGGCCGGCGAGAAGTGATTGGGGGGATGGAAATGCACTATGGCTGATTTGGCTGATTTCCACTGGTATTCGGAAGTCCGAACTTAAGGTCAAGACTGCCAACGAGTACGCAATTGAAGCGATTTGTAAATCATCAAACTTGGGATGACTTGGGAGTTGTAGTCGAGCAGTAAGAGAAGGCACACATAAGTGATTCAAGGGACTGATAGAATGTATCACATCTTTCATTATCTCACTTCCTTACTTTCCCCTGTCACATAGGTAGGTAAACTACACTATCCGGCCATCATCTTTGCTCATCCGATCCCCTCAACAGCTAGCTATCTTCATATTCAGTCAGCTAGTGTTAAATGTCATATACACATGAATAATATAATGGCACAAATCCAGTTGCCCAACGCCCATGACGATGCAAGGCTTAAGCAATCCGTCCATCCGATTCAAATCCACGCCTCAGCTATAATAGCCTATGTGACCTGCCTAGTATCCTGAACGCCTTCTGAATCAAGGTTGTGCCGCCCTAGGTGTCATTTGATGAAATCCTATTGTGTAAATCCGACTTCTGCCTCTCTTGACGTCCTTTGGGTCTTGCCGAGTCTACTCCTTCCTAAAATTTGGCTCCATGTGAAGTTTTCCTAAATTAAGCTCAAATCAATTCATGGATCCGAGTCCTTCTGTAGCAAGCATATAGGTTATCTCCTTAGGACCACAAATCCTTCTTCCACCAGCAACGTGCGTGCATACAGCGTGAGAGCAAGGCTATCATTCAATAACCATCTTCCTCTGTCCACCAACCATCGTCCATCCCAACGCTTTCAGCGCATCTTTATCATTTGCTCGAATAATCGTGCAAGCGGGTAACATAGGATTATGCGGGTCTACATGCGAGGCATCTTTGGCTGCTTGTTCGATGGCGTCCATTTCCTCCTTGCAGTCCTGCTGGTCGAGGGGGCAGACTACGATCGGTTGGCGCAAAACGATATCTCGAGCTGCGGACATATGCGCCTGGGGTTGTCAGCCTAGAACTAAAAAGGTTCCGGTTTTCTAGACTTACCTTAATTATCAGAAAGAACTCAATCTTGTAAAGAGTTCCTGTGGTAGTGAAAGAGTTGACCGAATACATGGGGAAAGCGGCCTTTCCTCGCTTTATTATCCCCTCTGCATCTCGTAATTCCTTTGATGGGAAGACCAAACCTAAATTTGTGAAGTAGCCAGCCTCCGGCAGCTTGACTCCTACGACTTGCGTATGTTTCGCTATTCGGTTAACCTTTTTTGTGGGCTCGTCTCCTTCGGGGTTATATGTTATTTCCTCCTCTATACCAATCGTAATTTTCTGGATCACAACTCTCTTTGCCTTGCTTAACCAATCCGGGTTCGGTGATATTTTTATGTAGACGCTCACTGGATCTAGTGGGCCATAGGACCATCGAGGTAATGATATCCCAAGCGTAACGAGATGATCTGCCGTCTTCTCTGCAGCTTCAGGTCGATTGTACATCCCAAAAGTTGAAAGCGTGTCGTATCGTTGTATCGGGACCGGAAACGCGAATTTCTTCTGATCCTGCCCTTGCTGTACCGTCACCACTAGCTCATAGTATGTTTCCGCCGTCCTACTAGGAAGTTGCAAAGAAGCTGGTGGAATCCTCCGATTGCTTTCTTCCCCTCCCCGTCCAAATGGTATAAATAATACGAACGGTAGATCCATTAAAACCACACTTTCCGACTCTTTCCCCGCTTGACAGCGAAATAATAACAGCTCTTTCCCCACCACATCTGTGGTTTCCCTCCGTGGCGTTCCTAGATGCTTCTTTGCGAGTGACTCGGCGGAAGGATGTATCGTTTCTCTCCTTTGTAGACATATTCGAACCAACGATATCGCAACAGGCGCAGAGATACCAGTGAGGGGTCTAATCTCCACCTTTCCCTCTATCCTTGGCTTCGTCATAACAAACATCAGCATATTCACCAACATACCTCATCCAAAACCAAAAAGAATATTCTTACCAGCGTCGCCGATATGCCCGGATATCCCACAAGGAAATTACTATTTGGCGGCCCCGAGACCCTGACAAACGCAGCCATGTTGTCCCGGGCTCACACAGAGTCGGCGCAACCGCGCGGTCTGCGCCAAAGTGGTAGGTGTGTCGACAGACAATCCGATTTTGCAACTGGTAGGGGGACCATATGTTCCAGCAGCTACTCAAGTGTGTATGGCGCAAATTGAGGTTGTTGCGTTGTCGATAGCTCGCTCGTCGTCACCATATAAGCAAGGCTCCAGCTCAGCTGTTGATGTCGAACCCTTCGTCGAATCGTGGATCGCTGCTCTGTCTCGGCGTGCTCGTCCGTCCGCTCCTCGGCGAAAAATGTACGTTCAGCTTTACACAAGGCTGGCAGATTGCAAAATGCCTTTCATTTGCAGGACTCAAGACTGCAACAGAAATTGCGTTATGGTAAGGGATGAAGAAAAGATATCTGTACAAAACCAAATGCTAAGGCTTGAACACAGCGCGCACGCAGTATCCACAGTTGGTCGCTTATTTACAGTCCAAAGGCTTTGCAACTCTCGCCGCACTCGCACTGTGGACCTTCCATCAAGCCATCATCCATGCCCGTCCACTGAGCACCGCACGGAGCAATAAAGCTTCTTAGCGTGACCGATAACCCTCCCAAACTCGATTAAAATCTAGAACCCCGCAATTAAGCTTCTGATTGTTTGATTGACGGATGCGCCTTTACTTTTTTTTTGACCACACCACACCCACACTCACACCCACACCCGCGATCCTGAACAAGCTCCAGCTTCAAACATCACGCCTTGACGGCCATCGCCCGCCCGTGTGTGAGATCTCTCCGAAGCTTCAGCCTTCAGCCCTACGCACCCACCCCACTTCAGACGACAGCTCCTTCATACAACTCATTGCCATGCAATTGCTGAGCTTCAGCTCCAGCGCGACCAACCCTTACCATGTCCGTAACGCTCCACACAAATTTCGGTGACATGAAAATCGAGGTCTTTTGCGAATCAGTCCCGAAAACTGCGGAGGTGCGTTTATACCGAGCTCCCTAGTTAACTAATTTCCTGATCCTGCAACCCCTTTCAAACAAATTTAAAGCTCAAAGAAATCGCCACTAAATTCCCTCCCTACCAATTTACCAAAGACAAGCTCACACCTTCCCCTTCTAATAGAATTTCCTTGCCCTCTGCGCATCCGGGTACTATTCCTCCTCCGCATTCCACCGCCTGATCCCTAACTTTATGATCCAAACCGGTGCGCCAGTATCACAACCCAAAGGCGGAGTCTCGATATGGGAAGAGCCTTTTGAGGATGAAATCAGACCCACATTGAAACATAATGCGAGGGGGATAGTAAGTATGGCGAATAAAGGGCCAAGCACGAATGGGAGTCAGTTTTTCATATGCTTTGATAAAGCACCTCATTTAGATGGCAAGAACACTGTGTTTGGACATGTTATTGGGGAGGAGGGACTAGAAACACTAGGGAAAATGGAAGCGATTGAAGTTGATAAGAAGAATCGGCCTAAGCAAGAGATTAAGATTGAGAAGGTTACAGTACATGCAAATCCATTGGCTGGTTGAATGCAATGACGGCGATCCAGTTTGCGCGAGACAAAGAAATAATCGCATTGGCGAAGAATTGGATGGAGAGGATGGAGAGGAAGGTCAGGCGATGATATCATGAGATCTGTTGGATACTCTGAAGAGCACAAGTATACACGGAAACGGGGAGAGATTGGCTAAAGGGCTAGCCTGCTATTGCTGCTGTGGCCATCTTGTACCGCGCTTGCGCATAGATGGGGAGTGAGCATCAAGATTCTAGCTGAAAACATCAGCAAAAACAATAGAACAAATGCCAAAATTCAAATAACAACATAATAGGCGTCGAACAGCTGTTTATAGGTTTCAATATTAGCTTCTGTACATGGTGGGTCATTCAACCCCATGGCTACTAAGGTTTCTGAGAACAATCTTCGTACGATGTGTATATCAACGTAGTTTGTACAGAGGTGATTAACATATACTTATGTAGGCGGCCTATAGGTATGTCCAAACGCCCTCGCATGCAAGCAACCTTGCCAAATAATCGACGTTGAACCCCAACGCCTAATTAGCATGCCTTCTAGTGAACGAGCCTGCAAGATATCGTTATGCGACCTCACTGTGCTGATCACCATGGAAATCCAAAACCATGACCTGATATGTCCTATCTGACTGGCCGATTATGACCACCCATTCCTAAACCAATGAGCTCGAATATTATTGGATTGCCCTCAACTGCCAGCCAAGCAATACCTTGTAGATGTTAGAAACCGATTTAAACTAAATGATTGGGAGCTTACCTGTATAGACAACAAGCTTTGTCACAACTTCCACGTCATACCTAACTCGAGGCTTTTCCAGTCTCA